CCCCCCCCCCCCCCCCCGAGGGATGCAGGCCTTCTCAGAGCACGTCCCCTGCACAACACGCGGCTGCAGCTGGCATCACCCCACTTTCAAAGAGCAGCCAAGTGGCCAGGACACTTGCCCAGGAAATAGGAGATTGGGCACCCAGGCCCCCTGCAGCCTGAGGGGCTTCCAGCCCTCATCTCCCACCTCTCGGAAAGGCTGAGACGGGGCACTCTGCACCCTTTCTTGAAGCTGTGTCACTGCAGAGAAGAGGACTCATGAATCATTGAGGGAGAGAAAGCGGGTGCACGCACAAGAAGGTGCATGACTTGCCTAATGGTTAGGGCCCTCAGCTAAGAGGAGAGAGCCCTGCAGAGAGTCTCTAGATCGGGTGGGCCAAGTCCAGCTTGCAGGCTGGATCGGGCCCGCAGCGGACTCCATTTCCCAGCAGCCCCTGCCCATGTCACTGTGGCTGGTTTCCATGGAGACCCTAGGAGTGGTGGAGCTGTGACAGCGGTGCAGCGGGGTTTGCCATGGAGACCGGCCCCAGCAGCGCTGGCAGGGTGCGCGGCTGGGCAGGGAGCTGCTCTGGGGCCTGGATCTTGTGGCGGTGACAGCACGCCCGGAGCTGGGGCAAAGCTGCGATCTGCGGCCCACACTCCCCAGGCAGAGGCATGCGGGCAGCGGATCGTGGCTCTGCCCCGGCTACAGACCACGCTGTCACCACTGCAAGATCCCGGCTCCAGAGCCGCTCCTCACCCAGCCATGCACCCTGCCAGCACTGCTGGGGCCGGTCTCCATGGAAACCCTGGCCCTGCCCTGTTACAGCGCTGCTGCTCCTGGTGTCTCGATGGAAACCAGCTACAGCAACGTGGGCAGGGGCTGCTGGGAAATGGAGTCCAGCCGCTGACCGGATCTGCGATTTTGTCCAGCCCTGCTCTAGATAGTCTGGCACTGCTACCTCAGAAGTGGCCAGTCAGCTGCTGCCTTGACTTGCAGGTTTTAGTGGCCGCCCGTGTCTGCAGCAGAGGCCATGCTGCATCTCAAAATCCATCTGGGCTTAGTTCAACCAGCCGAGCTTCACAAACATAGCTGGCCCTGGGGGAGAGGGGGTTTGCAGGTCATCCACAGGCCAGAGAGAGGGTGGACAGGTGCATGGATGTGCAGTAGAGGAATCCACGCTGGAGAAGGGGGCTCAGTGATTTCACTTAGCTACAGCCTCTCAGCCTGGCACCTGAGGGCACACGGCTATGTGAGAGTTGACCACCGCAGCGTTATCAGAGGCAGCCCTTGCTGTGGAAATAAACTCCGCGTCAGAGGAAATCCTGGTCCTGTTTCCTGCCTTTTCTCTCTGTGCTGACCCACTGCTGTCCTTCCACCAGGGAAGGGGCTGGGTTAGGAACAGCCCAGCTTGCACGGCCCTCTTGGCGAGGGGATGTTTTGCCACAGCAACGTGGGCAGGCCAGGAGAGATGGACGCACACCCTGGAGATGCACAGGGGTCTGGGTCAGTGCCTTTTGGTTTCCTTTCACATCAAGTGAAGGGATGAACTCAGCCCAGGCAACTAGGCTGCCAGAGTGAGTATACAAATGGCAACACACTTCCTCTTAACCATCACAGCATTTTGCAAGCATAAACCAGAGTCCTCACAGCCGCTCTGTGAGACAGACAGGCTCGCCCCCTTTAGAAACAAGGGAACCAAGACAAAGAGATTAAAGGACTTGTCCCAGAGGTCAGCGGCAGTAGCTGAGACAAGAGCTCAGAGCTCTGGAAGCCCACGTCCATACTGGGTCCACCAGCAGTCGGACCAGTCCCTTCCCACCGCTGCAAGTTGGGCCTCCAGACCTCGCGAGAAATAGGGGAGCCTGCACACTATTTCTTGCACACTCCAGACCTCACGAGAAATAGGAGAGCCTGCCAGCAATGGGGACACCCAAAGGCGGAGGGCCCTGTCAAGTCATCCTATCCCCCACTCCCCCAGCAACGTTGCCTGGATTCCTCATCGCTGAGTCAGGCAACTCTCCACCACAAGCAGAGAGCTGAACTTGTGCTGACCACAGCACGGGAAGGGAATAGAGACCATGTTTGCCCATTTCTCCCAGCCAATGTGACTGCTTAAGCTGGGGATGGGCTAGGATGGGGCTGCTGGCAGGGTTTGAACTGAAGGTGAGGATGCATTCGGTAAAGTGGGCAGTGACCCAGCAAACAAAACGAACTCGGCGCTCTCACCCTTCCCAGCCTAAGAGCGCTCTCACAGCACATTAGCACACTTGCCTTTCAGCCCGTGCTAGCTATGATATCTGGCACTGCTTTCGCCTGCCTGCTACACTGATAAGCCATTGCAGCATGCAGCGTGCTGACTGTATCTGAGTCACCCGGGAATCCCGCAAAAGCCTGAATAGGGCTGACCCATATGGTCAGGGGGCAGGGACGGTCCTTTTAGGATATTAAAAAACTGGGCAAAATTGGGCACACCCTGACCCGAGTCCTCCAAGTTAAGCTCTAATCCTTAGCCAGGATCAGTGGTGGACATGACCTTGCATGCTACGGGATTACATAAAGTGGGAAATGACTGGCTGGGGAGAGAATAGATGTCACAGACCTAAGAGGAGGAAAAAAATAATAAGGTGAGATTTCTGCTGTTAAACTGTAGCTTCAGCAGTGCAAACAGCAACCAGCACACACTGTGAGAGGCGATGAAAGTGCATCATTAATTCTGGTGGTGGGTTGTGTTGTTAAATAGCTTTGTTTGTCTTGCAATTGGGGGGGGAGGGGGGGCACTCCTCCTTCAAGAACAATCTACAATTTGGATGCAAGAAGAATAAAAGTCCTAGCACTCCTCTGACCATGATCTGGAGGGCTGGGGATCTCTCTCTCACCTGGAGGTTTGCACTTTCAAGACAGCAGCTGAACTCGGTGTGCTGTGCGGTCACGTGCATGTGAGCCCGGTGTCAGACTCGCGGAGTCACAACATTATCCTTCTCTGATGTTGTCCTGACGCGGGTGCCTTGTTATCTTGCACCAGAATTTAAATCCCCAGAGGACAAGCTGGTGTTTTCTTTCCTTGACCTGTTGCCACTACCACGGCTTAAATACTCCAGAGTTCACGACGACGGTTTCTACTGAACAGCAGCAGTAGCATGATAAGCAGATACCACAGTGCTGCTGCAGATCCCTCTACGATGCTTCACTCATGAAATGTCGTACTACCTGTGCCTGTGGGAATGATCTGCACTTGCATTTGTGAAAGGGAAGAGTACAAATCCTTCGAAGGCTGAGCATGTGGGGGGAGTGGAGGGACGTTTGGGGGTGCAGGAGTAGGGGTGCTCCCTGCAGCTCCCCCTTCCCACCCTCTGTTACCCAGGGCCTAAATCTGAAGACACGATTCTGGTTTGTGTTGCATCCTGGGGCAAGAAGCTGAAAAATTGCCATCCACCTCATTTCAATTTAAAACTAAAATGAAGGCTTTTTATTCAATTAAATGCACACAGAGATCATGCAATCAGTACAGCAGCCAGCATTTTGATATTCAATTTAATTCACTCGCTATGGGTCCCCTGTTTCTCTTGTCCAAGCCTACCAAGCATTTTCCTGTCAGTGCCACCTGCCCCCACCGGAGGAGTTGTCGGGGTGAGGCCAGGGGTTTAGACAGCCACGGAGGGGGCAGCTGGGGCTTTTGGAGGAGATGGTCCGAGAGCGTTCGGTAGCACCGTCACAGGATAATTCTGCCAACATGAGCAGCAGTGAGACAGTTAACAGCTTTGGCCTTGAAGCTGTTCAGTTGTGAGGTTTCAGG